GGGCGGTTATTAGGCGCGTTGCCGCGCTGGGGTAGCGCCTTGTCGAGTCCTCGAGGCGCTCTATCTGGCGGATCTCTCCGCCCCTGCTTCAAATATTGCGCTTTTGGCTCGTTGCCGAGCGGTTGGTGGTAGCGCAATGATGAAGCGTATATGGTACCAATGTCGTTGTCTAGACGTCGTATCTCTCGTGTCGCTTCTTGCTCTTGGATAGATCCTCGTAAACGTACTGGGAGTAATAGCGCAGGGTGGTAGGTGGTCACGAAGATCGTGCCGAAGAGTATGAGGCTAAGAAGAGCAAGAGCTGACCACACGAGAGTGCGGCCAGCTCCGCTACCAAGTCGAAAGTGAGCCTGGTAACTCAAATAGCATCCGCTTCCATGGGAATCGAATGGCAGATAGCGTCCATTACCCTGCTGGGGTGGTTCAGTATGGGGAATGGACGGGTATGATAGGATAAGATCGATGTATTGGTCTTTCCAGCACATAGCGAACACTAAGGTAAGTGTCCGGGCAAATAGGGCGCGCGTGCCTTGAGCCAAAGGCAGCGGCGCGCGAGCTATGCTCCCGATACTATAACATCTCCCACAGAGCTACCCTTAAAGTTCAGGCTCCTGGGGCGGTTTCAGCTGGCGGTGATGTTCAATGGCATGCCCGACCCGCCAAATATACGAGGGGTGTCCGCGAAGGACCTTCAAGGATGGTGCCAGGAGAACCACCAACGCTACGATTTCTGGGATTGCATCAGAAAATTTCATTATGAGGCAGGCGGTGATGATCCGCCGGCCCCCTTGTGGGGCTACCAGGCTGTAGGGCGAAATTACTGCTCCCTGCACCAGTTGCAGTTTCAACTATCCAATGTTACTGTCCTGTTGTTTGCTTCTTATTGTAAATTGTTGAACTCAGCGCGAGGGGGGGGGAGCCCAAAGGACTCGGCGACCACGCCTGCATCGCGTTCTCTGAATTCATGGGAGGGCGTGGGACATGTACAAATAACTGAGATTCGCGTCCCCGAGGCCATCATCCTTGGCAGATGATTAGATATTCGCGTCCCCGAGACCACAAACCTTTGACAATTATCTACTCGTTGCGTCCCCGAGACAACACTCCCCCCGAAAATTACGCCATAGTCGCGTCCCCGAGGCAACACACCGTAGGAAATTACGCTATATTCGCGTCTCCGAAATCATACACCTCCCTGCGAATGCCACCATATTCGCACCGCCGAGGCCAAGAGTGCCCCAAGGCGGCCGAAGATGATTCCAAGACGGCCCAAGAGGGCCCAAAGAGGCCCCAAGACTGCTCCAAGAAGCCTCCCCGGATAGCCCCAAGAGGCCAAAATCGTAGATGTTACCAGGTTCTCGCAGTAGCACGGCCTCCAAAACACCTCAAGAAGCTCCCAAGACCGCCCCAAGACAGCCAAAGACGCCCGCAAGAGGGCCCCAAGACAGCCCAAGAGGGCTCCAAGATGGCCTAAGAAACGTTCAAGAAGGTCCAAGAAGGCCCCAAGGCGGCCCCAAGAGAGGCCCAAGCAGGGGACCACGAGCCGAACATTCAATGTTTGTGCCCCGAGAGGCCCCCAGGAGGCCCCAAGAGGCCGCCAAGAGGCCCCAAGATGCGTCCAAGACGCGCCCAAAAGGCCCCAAGAGGCGTCCAAGACGCGCCCACGAGGCCGCCAAGAGGCGCCCAAACCGCCTCCAAGAGGCCCCTGAGAGGCTCCCCACGACACCCCAACACGTACAAGAGGCCTCAGACCCACAACCCAGGCACGGTGGCGGGATGGGCCGACCCCCCCCTCCCCCCGCCTCGAAAACCGGAGGGGGGTCACTACCAGTGCGAACCCCTCCCCAACCCCCCCACTCACCGCCAGCAAACGACTCCCGGTCCCTACCACCGTCCGCGCCACATCCCCCACTGTTGTTCCCAGCACCACTGTCCTCACCACCACTGTCCCCACTGTCTCCACCACCGTCCCTACTGTCCCCACCAGTGCTCCCACCACTGTCGCACTGTCCGCACTGTCCCCCTACTGTTCCCACCACGGTTCCACTCTCCCCACTTTCTCCACGGCCCCAACCACTGCCCGACTATCCCCACTGTCCCTGGTCGCCCAACTGTCCAGGCCGACGTCCTCTTCCGCTGTCCCACTGTACTGTCCCCCACTGTTCCCACCATGTCCCCACTGTCCCCACCACTGTCCCCACTGAACCTCGTCCCCCTTGTCCCACCGCCGTCCTCGCCACCGCCTTCACCACTGTCCCCACCACCACTGTACCCTCCACTGTCCCACTGTTTCCACCTCCCCCTGTCCCCACACTACTGTCCCCACCACCACCGTCCCCACCACTGTCCACTGTCCCCAGTGTTCCCACCATTGTCCTCACCCACCACTGTCCCCACCACTACAATCTCCACCACTGTCCCACTGTCCCCACCACTGTCCCGCTGTCCCCTCGCCACTGTCCCCACCACCACTGTCCCCACCACTGTCCGCACCCCCCCTCGGTTTTTGAGGGGTGGGGGTTCGAACCGGTAGTGACCCCCCCCCCAGTTTTCGAGGGGAGGGGGGGTTCGAACCCGTAGTGACCCCCCCCCCTTTTCATGATGAACTTAGGGTGGGGGGGGGTTCGGAACGGCAGTGATCCCCCCCGGGTTTTCCGGAGGGGGGGGGGGGGGGGAGGGGTTCGAACCGGTAGTGACCCCCCCCCGTTTTCCGCCAGCAGCGATAGAACACGCTCTTTCCAATTTTCCGAAGGCCCGAGACTGCCCAAGTGCCCCCAAAGATCGCCCAAGAGGCCCAAGACGGCCCCAAAGAGGCCCCCAAGACGGCCCACGAGGCCCCCAAGACGCTCAAGATGGCCTCCAAGACGGCCCAGGAGCCCTCCAAGACCTCCAAGAAGGCCCGAAAGGGTCAAAATGGCCTCCAGGCGGCCAAGATGACCTTCAAGATGCTCACGTGTTACCCGAAGGCTTTCCATACCGATTCGGGGAACACATGGTCCGATAGCTTGGCAGGTCTTGCCTCAACTTTCGGCCACATAGGCGCTTCCAAAAAGGCAGGGGGCGACGGTGATTCGCCGTAGGCGTCTTCGATAACGCCACCGTCTCAACATGCGCTGGTGATTCCTATCCGCCTCCGCAAGATGTTCCCAGACGCGCCACGGCAGCGCCGAGACGAGCCGACGCGACTCTGATGTATCAAAGTCTGATAGAGAGGGGGCCAGCGGCAGGGGGCGAATCCCTTACGGATAACATGTCTAACGTGTTTGATACAAATACCGAGGCATCAGAGCAGCTCAACACTGATCTTGGGGCTCTCGAAAGCGATCCACCTCTGAGCCCATGTCGAAATAATAAATGGACCCTATGGAAGCCATCATGCAGAAGCAGCAGCATATCAAATCGACCACACGGATGCGCCTCATCAGAGACGGGCGCCCTTCCGGCCGCGCCCGCGGAGGACTCCCAAGGCCCCCCCCGGGGCGAGGGGACTCTGATCAGCCAAGACGCCAGCGGGCCTCGGAAAGCCGCAGCCGTGGGCCGAAACCGTCTCCATGCTTCGTGCTTCCCCGCTGGGATTTTCAGAGTCCTGGCTTGCAGTGTCCCAAGTCCAGGGGGCCCTTCGTCGGCAAAAAACACATCCGTGTCCGCGGCTTCGCGGGCCGGGCTCCTGGGCAGCGCTCCCGCGGATACGGGGCGCTTTTCGGGGATGCCCCGCGCGGAACGTAGCCGTGCGACCGCGTATCCGCGGGATCGCACCCCGGAATCCAGACCGCGAGGGCGCGGATAGTGATATGTGTTCGCCGCTCGGGCCACGACCAGAGACGGCAAGCGACATGATGGAGCAGCCATAGCTGGAGAGCTCTGTCTGCACTCATAGCATGGTGAGCGCTACGTTGAACTCGAGACGCCTTTGGCCACCTGGCTCAACAGTAAATGGTCGCCGATCGTGAATGCCCTGGTTTCGGGGGCCCCCAGGATCGACAAAGACCCGACCCCAACTCCAGGCCTCGGAAAAAAGTTGCGAATGTGCCACATTCATCGGTCAACGCCCCCCCCCCCTCCCCCCAGTGCTCAAAGTTGGCGGTAGGTCTGATGAGTTGCACCTCGACTGCAGTCTCCCCCGCGCGTGCCAACTTTGAGTCTGAGGGAGCGGGGGAATGTCCACTAATTGTTCCCCCCTGCCGTCGACCTGGGACGGCATCCTGGAGCGGCGGCGCGCACAAGGGCGTCGGTGGCAGGAGGGAAGGCTCCTCAGGAAGCTGCTTATTGGAAGGCTCCGGCCCTGCGCTTGCAGACAAGGCCCGCGCCTTCTAGGGAGCGGCCGTCTTCTAAGAAGCCTTCTTCTAAGAAGCCCTCTGCTCGGCTACCCGCAAGAGCAGCCCTGGGAAAGAGTGACACTTGGTGCGCGGTCTGTCGGGGGCCACGGGGAGAACGAGCACACAAACATGAGCGCGCAGGACGCCACAGCCACCTCGCGATCGGCGATCGGGGGATTCCAGTGGGCCCGCACCAAAGGTCACTCAGTCGAAGGGTCACCCATACGTCTAGTCGCAGTCCGATCAACACGTTCCAAGATTTCCAGGAATATCCAGCGGCGCAACCGGTGCGGAACATCAGGAAAGATTGGCCTTCCTGGAAGCCTTGGCAATGTGGGAAAGTATCATCATCATGACCTCTTGCTCGTCTGATCACCCCCTCCCTCCACTCCCCTTGCGGTCGATCCCCGTACCAGAGGTCACTCCGGTGAAGGGCCACTCTTACGTGTATGGGAAGCACAAAGACATGCAAGTGCTATATGTTCTCCTTGGAGGTGCGCGTCCGACCCGAACATCTAGTATACCAATCTTGTAGTATACCGTTTCCCGCGCGGTGTGGCCAGAAAGCGCCCGCCACGTACTACAAGATTTCTCGGTGCGCGCGTCGCCCCTGTGTGCATGTCAGGGTGACGCCGCGCGCAGTCGATCTGCACGTGGCCCCCCCGTGCCATCCCGGTCGGCTGCCTGCGATGGCCGCTACCGCGCCCGCGGGCGCGTGCCAGGGGGCCGCGGTCGCTGGCAGGGGCGCCGCGGCGGCCGCCTGGGCAGCAGCGAGCCGTGCGGGGAGGTGTCGGTAGGGCATGTCTTCCCACAGGCGGATTTCGGAATGAAAATAAATATTAATCAAACATACTAAACAATTACCGAAGGAGAACGAAACATCGTCATCAGACTAATTTTGTTACTACTCTTGAATATTCCTTCCTCCTTCGGTGGTATCTCATGGGGGCCTCCCATACAATCTTGTCGGCTCTTGCGAACTTACGCTAAATCGACGCTAATCGATGCTACATCGACGCTGATCGACGCTAGCCCACGCTGAATCGGCGCTATCTCATCGACTCAGAGACGCTAATCCACGCGAGTCGACGCTAACGACAGAAGTAATAGGGTATACCAGGCTCCCATGATTGCTACCGACGCGCGGGAGAGGGGGCAAGGTCGGTCGGCATCGGAGCGGGAAGTCGCGTCGCATCGGAACTCGGGCGGGCGGCAATGTTAGGAGGCAGCTGCTGGGAGGTCTACGCCGGAGGGATTCAGGAGGATCAAAACCCATTGGGGGGGGGCTGCTACGCCGGATTAGGCTCCGGATTCAACGGGATTAAGCTGGACTCAACGAGATTAAGTCGGATGAAGCGGGATTAATCCGGATTAAGCCGCAGGGCAAAGTCAGAACTTGACCTCCCAAGAGTTGCATCCGAAGCAATGGGGGGTGATCTCAAAGCGCTGCGCAAGCATCGGGCAGCTCCTGATCATCGGAAGCTTGAAATCGGATCGGGTTGGGCAGGCCGAAGTATTCACCGAATCGAGTCGATCGGGGCGGAATGGGCCCTTGGGGGTGGATGGAGGGAGGACTTGCCAGGCGATAGCCGCCCCATCGGTGTGCTACCCCGTCTCTTCCGAACGCCCGCGACGAGATGTCGCAGACACCCTGCTGAGACGCGCTCGAAGCGGGAGGAGGGACTTTAGGATTAGAGGGGAAGGGCAGGAGAGCCCAGAATTCGAATCGATAAGTCGAGTCGGCGATCGAAATGAATCGGATCGGCGGAAATCGGCAGCCGAGTCGAGAAAAGTCGAATCGGTAGGCATCGGCAGGCTAGTAGGCCTCCATTGAGAAATCGGATCCCAAATCGGAATCCGATGCCGAATCGAATCGGAACCGGAATCCATCGAAATCGAAGCGGATGAATCGAAACGAGCCCTGGGAGGGTAACCTGTGACGGGCCACTTGCAGCATCCATTCTGCCATACCTGGGCCACCGCATCGGCTTCAGAGAGGGAGAGGGAGGCAGTGAGGGAGCACGCGAGCGGCCGGCCTCAGGGGCGGAGGATGAGGAGGAGACGGAGGAGGAGGAGGAGGAGGAGGAGGAGGAGGAGGAGGAGGAGGAGGAGGGGGAGGAGGAGGAGGAGGAGGAGGAGGAGGAGGGCCTTCGCGGTGCGCACAAGAGGGTAGAAGGCGCCGGCCTTACATCTACAGAGCATGCCCGCGCCTTCTGAGAGGCAGGGGTGCTTCTAAGACGCTTCTCCCCTACCACATACCCTCTGCGCGTGGCTGAAGAAACTATGACGGACGAGAGTGATGGGCCGATTTTCCACCACCACCACCACCACCACCACCACCACCACCACCACCATAGGTAGGAGAGGAAACAGGAGGAGGAGAAGGAGGAGGGGGAGGAGGGGGCCCTCCCCATCATCCCTTCTCCCCTGTCCTACCTATGGCAGTGGTGGTGGAAAACTTGCCCGTCAGAGAGGAAGGAGAGATGGGGAGGGAAGAGGCAGGAGGGGTGGATGGGGGAGGGCGAAGCGAAGCGAAGCGGACACCAGAGTCGTGCGCGCTCCGCGAGGGACAACAACCACATGTTTTGTGGCGTGCCCACTCCTCATTGCAGCGAGGCGTGCCTGCCGAAACAAAGGACTCGGGAGGGATGTGGAGGGAGGAGGGGCGCGATGAGCAGGCGGACGTCCCTCTTCCTCGTCCTCGCCTGCTTCCTGCCCCTCTCCCCCCCCCCCCGCTCCCCCCCGTGTCCCTCCTCCCCGCTCTCCGCCCTCGCGGCCTTCCCCCCTTCTTGCCCCTCGCTCCTCTCCTCCTGCGCCCCCTCTCCCTCCCCCCACCCCCGCGGCTCGAGCGGGGGGAGGGGGGGGGGGCCTGGCTGCGCCTTCCCTGCACACACACACACACACACACACACACACACACACACACACACACACACACACACACACACACACACACACACACACACACACACACACACAACGCCTGCTCGTTCACCCCCTTCGGGCCGCAGGGGCCCCCTCACGCGCAGGCTCTGGCGCGAGGCGGGGCCCAAGAGCTCCAGCCCCGCTCCGTGCCGCGACGCCGCGCCTTCCCGGAGGCGCCGTCCGCTGTCCGCGAGGCCCGACGCCACACACTTTTTCGTCGGCGGCGAGGCGGCGAACTCCGCTCCAGCGAGAAAGCCAGATGGGAGCACCAACTGGCGAATTGGCCGGCGAGCACAGGAGGAAGGGGGCACGGCCGAGAGGAGGAAGGGGCGCTCGGACGCCGAAGAGTTCGACGAGGAGCAGCCGGGGGGGCAGCAGCAGCCAGGCGCGCAGGGCCACCGACACGGCATACCCGCACACCCTGGTGAAGGGGCCCAGGGACACACACACACAAAAATAAATAGACACAGATAACAGGACCCCCCTAGATTTCCCAAAGTTTTCTGGGCTCTTGCCTTCCCCCCCCCACTGCCCATGTGTTCCCATCTCTCACTGGGAATCGACGATTCATTGCGTCCGTGTGCTGTTTCCCCTCCTTGAACCCCCTGGGGAGGCGCGCCGAGGCCGCTGGAACCCGCGAGGAGTCCAGCCGCCGCGCGGGGCCCGGCCGGCGCCACCGCCCGGCCCGCACGACGCGCCCCCCCCGGGGGCTGTCTCGAGCGGTTTGCGCGTTGTCATGCCCGACATCCTCTGCTTTCAGAGCAGATCGTGAGGATGTCTCGGGCGGGGCGCGGGTTTCAGCACCCCGGGGGTGCCGCCAGGGGTGTCTTCACGGGCCCGTTCGCGGCCAGTTGTTGCGGGGATGTCTCAGGCGGGGCGCTGGTTTCAGCACCCCGACGGGGTGCCGCCAGGGGTGGTTTCACGGGCCCGTTCGTGGCCAGTTGTTGCGGGGATGTCTCCGGCGGGGCGCTCGTTTTCAGCCTGGCCTGGCCCGCAGAAGCGCTCCGGGCTGCAGGCGGGCAGCTCGGGCGGGGACGGCGGGTCGGCCAGCAGGAGGCGCAGGTCGGGCCTGTCCCCCTGCAGGATGATTTTTGACGACAGATAGATAAAACATAATCAGACAATGCTCAACAGATGCCCAAATATACTACAAACAAAAATCACAGGACTGTTTTTGTTTGACTGTTTTTGGATATTCCCCCTGCAGAGGGACAGGCCCGACTCAACAGGAGCCCCCAGCTCACATACAGTGGAGGCCAGTGCACGGGAAGCCTTCCACAAGAGACCCAACCCTGAGACCCCAGGGCGTCCTCCGACTCTTGGTGTGGGCACGTCACGCTTTCCTCGGCAGGGCCATCGAAACCCAGGAAGCCCAGGGCACCCTGGGGGCGAGCAGTGTGCTTCCTGGCATGGGTCTCCACTGCATCGACGAGTGACCGAAGACCGAAGCAAACAATCCCTGCAAAGGCGCAGCACATGAACGCATCGATGCATGGCGTGCGGGGGCTGCCTCTTGCTCACACATCGCCGAGTGACCGAAGACCGAAGCCAACAATCCCTGCAGAGACGCCGCACATGATGAGCGCGTCGATGCATGGCGTGCGGGCTGCCTCTTGCTTCCCGCATGCGCAGCAATACTCGCACGGTGCTCGTGTAGCAAACGTACGGCACACGGCCGCAGTCCCGCGGCAGAGTCGGCAGAGACCCTCCGACGTCGCAAGAGTCACGTCACACGTCTAGAGGAACACAATACGGCATAAACATTAATTTTCGGCGCTCCGCGCGGATTTCTTGGATCTGCGCCGCATCCCCCTCCATGGCGCGAGGGGCGGCGCCGGAGGCGCCGCCAGCGGGCCGCAGCGAGGATCCAAGAAAACCACGCGGACCGTCGAAAGATTATGCTTATGGCGTTGTTGTTTTTTCGATTCATGTGGCATGGGCGTCAAAGCCCCCCCCCCCAGACAAATCCAGCGCTTGAGCTTTTGGTGACAAATCATGGGAGCCTCCCATGCCATCCTGCCCGCTCTTGCGAATCAAGGCTAGTCGGCGCCAAATCGACTCTAATCGACACTAATTGACGCTAAATCGACGCTAAATCCGAGCCATCTCACCGGCTCCAGGACGTTAGTCGACTCCGATCGACGCTAAAGACAGAAATGCGAGGGCATACCAGGCTCCCATGACTTGCTGCCGAGTGAGCTTGATTGACCCACGAGGGTCCAGGCTCACGTGTCGAAGCCCCGTTGGGATCCCCAGGGCGGCGCCTATGGCCTCCCGCCTCGTGGCCGATGGTCTCGTCGCCCCCTCCAGTCCGTGGCTCTCGAAGAACATACCACGGTATAGACGAACGGCAGGTTCTAGAGGCCTCCTAGATGGGGTCGGAGTAGATGGGGTCGGAGGATCGCGCCACATCGCCGATGCATCGGGGATGCACCGGCGACGCATCGTCGACGTCGGCGGTGCATCGGCGACGAGGGCGCGGAGAAAATCGGGCTCCGCATCGAGCCGCATCGCCGATGCATCGGCGATGCGGCGCGATCCTCCGACACCATCTACTCCCGACTTCAGCGCTGGCTTCTGACATCGCGGGGATTGTTCAACCCTGAACGATCGGCCGCTTCCGAAACGTCCGATCGTTCCATATCGACCTGTTCTGGGTCGCCGGCGGCGTTCAGGGTTGAACGCCCGCGGCGGTGTCGCCGCTGGTCGGTCGACACGACGCGAGCCTACCGTACGGTTGCGGAGGTCAGCGCGGATTTCTTGGATCGGCGCTGGAGTACCCCTCTCCCTTCCCCCCCGAACGTGCCGCCGAGCTGAGGCCGTGCCAAAGGCGCCGATGCCCTCGGAGAGCATGCTTCCAGAGCGCCCAAGCGTCGATCCATCGCATGGCCCGAGCGGCCCAGCTGCGCGCAGCCTGGGCCGCGCTGAGGCCACGCCGAGGCCATGGGTGAGGGCCTGCACGCGAGACCCTCGAAGTCACCGGGGGACCACTCGCTCCCACGCTGTGGCCACAGCCCGGTGAACTTTGTTCTTCGCAGCGCGGGCGGGCGCGAGCGCAACGGCAGAGCCGCCGGGCCGCGCCGGGCTTCGGGCGCACTCGAGCGGGCGGAACGGCACTGGAGGAGTGGCGCGAGGAACAAGCAAGAACACGTCCGGGGCCGAGCGCCGATCCGAGAACTCCGCGCGTAGCTGCGCAATGCACTATTCCTGTCGCCGGTTGGTCCTCGAATAGAAAGGCCCTCAGGTCTGGGGCCTGACATTTCCCCCAGATCTCTCTGGGCCACGCCGACGCCCCCTGCAGGCTTGCTTGGTCATGCTGAGCATGCATTCTGTGTCAAGCGCCCACTGGCTCTGACGATCAATGATCCCCCCTTCGGCTTGGGCATTGAAGAGAGCCTCATCGTGCGCCATGCAACGCCGAAGAACCCTTGCGCGCGCGGCTCGCTGCTATAAGCCAGTGCTGCAGCCGAGCCCCTCACGTGGGCTTCTTGTCACCGCTTCCCTCAATCCTGCGCACGCGCGCTGGCAAGGCCCTGCAAATGCCGCGTCGGCGTGGGCAGAATTCCTGCATCGATCGATCCCGACGACCATCTGAATTTGAATCGGGAAACTGCCGCATCGCACGTGTGGTTAACCCTGTGTCTCCCCGGCGACGGGTCCAAAGACCCGCCTCACGCAATCTTCGGGCACCAGCTCTCCGAGAGAGCACTCGCACTGCAGCAGCGAGCTGACTGCCTACCCGTCGGCCCCTCCAGGCTGGTGGCGTCAGGGAATCGCGACGTCAGAGCGGAGCCAGCAGACTGGTATTCTTCAATGCGCTGGCCGCTCCCCACGCCCACGCGGGCGCCGCCTCGAAGAGCAGCACTGGAGGTCTCCTGGATGGGGTCCGAGTAGACGGGGCCGGAGGATCGGCGATGCATCGGCGACGTCTGCGATGCATCGGCGATGCGGAGCGATCCTTCGACCCCATCTGCTCGGACCGCTTCTGGGAGGCCCAAAGCCCAGAGGCAAAGGCCACTCCTCTGGGGTGGTCGTTGGTTGGCGCGCGTGTGCCGTGGCGGCCGAGAAGGCGCCGCTAGATGGCCGCACGGTGGAGAGGAGGAGGGGCCCACCATGCCTTTGAGCAGGGCGGGTGGCGTGCGGAATAGTAGGGAGTCAACGGGCACCCCCCCAGTCGCCTCAAAAGGCCTGGGGGATGTGCCATCATCGTCATCATCGTCATCATCATCATCAGTGGTTGAGAAGGTTTCACTTCTCCACCGCCTCCTCGTCATCATCATCAACAACCGCTCGATTTCCCTTCTCCTCCTGATCGGAGAATGCGAGAGAAAGAGAGCGAGGGAGACGGGTTGTTCTCCTTCCCACGGCAGTTCGAATTATCGGAGAGTCCACCCCCTCGACCCTGTGCGGTCGACAAGCCTGATTGTTGTTCGGGGTGTGGGGTGGGTGGGGCGGGGGGGGGGACCCGATAACCCAGCTTATCGCCAGGGTCCGTAACACGTCTCCTCCTCCTCCTCCTCCTCATCCTCCTCCTCCTCCTCCTCCTTCTCCTCCTCTGCCTCCATATGCATGCCTCGGCCTCCGCCTCGGCCAGAGGGAGTGAGGGGCCCCGCTGGCCTGTCTCACTTCCCCCTTCCCCCCTCCGAACCCGGAGCCAGCACGAGCCCCGCTTCTGTCCAGAGCGCGCCATGCTGCTGGCAGCTCCGCCGGCCCAGCCGCCCTGTGCGTAGGCACGGGCGGGCGGAGGGACGTAGCGCCGGGCGCCTGGGAGCGGCGCGGCGCGATCCTCGGCCCCCGTGCCGTCTCGTTCCTGACCGCCTCCTCGTCGCTCTCATCCTTCGGCGTCTCTGTCAGCTCATCCTCTGCACGGGTGAATGAGTGATCCTGGCGAAGGCGGAGGCACCAACGCCAAGCAGTTTCGTGCAATTTCGATGCAACGTGCAACAAAAACCTCACTATGGGGGGCCTGCCGAGACTGCCACGATCTTCTGGTGTGTGTGTGTGCCAAAATGAATGCGGTGCCGCCATTCGGCCGTGGCCACTGAAACTTCATGTGCGGCTCCCTGTGGGCCAGCGAGCCTCGTTGGCAGCGTGCCGAAATCAGCTCGGTGCCGCTATGCGGTCGTGGTCACCGAGACAATGCGCCGAGATTCCCATGTGGCCCCGATCCTCGTCAGATGTGTGCCGAAACAGGCGCGGTGCGGCCATGCGGTCGTGGCCGCTGACACCGTCGGTGGGGCTCCCTGTGTGGTCACGATCCACGCGAGTGGTGTGCCGAAATGGGCGCGGCGCCGCCGTGCGTTCGTGGCCGCTGGAACTGTAAGTGGAGCTCCCTCCAGGGCCACGACCCTCGTAAGCAATGTACCGACACGGACGCGGTGCCGTCATGCAGTCGTGACCATTGAGGCCGTAGACAAAGCTCCCTGAGGGCAACGATCCTCGTCAAGGGTGTGCCGACATCGGCTCGGTGCTGCCATACCGTCGTGGCCGCTGAGACCGTAGGTGGAGCGCCACATGGACCACGAACCGTATGAGTGGTGCCGAAATGGACACGCGGAGAGCAGGGGCAAAGATGGAGACGGGGATGTGGAGAACAGATGCAAGGGAGGGTGAGGAGGAAGGAACCAGTGTGGAGTGTGGCGTTGCGGGTCCAAAACGAAGACCCAACAATGAGCACAGTGAGGATTGGGACAAACATCGAACTCCTCCCGCGCAGGGATGAAGCTGTAGCAAGGTAAATCGACTATACATGATAGCGCCATCTGTCATTGTTGTCGAATGGTCCTTCCCCGCACGATTCCGCCTACTGATCGTTGTTGTCATCCTCGTCCTCTTAGCCTCCGCCTCCTTCTTATCGTCGTCGTCCTCTTTATCCTCTTTCTCCTAGTACTTCTTCACATCCCGATCCGCCAAGTGACGACTTCGTCCCCGAAGCAGGGAATCGCTGTGGTAACATTCCAGTCCGCGGTTGCGCCGACTGCAAGCAGGAAAAAGAAGATTTGGGAAAGCGGGGTGCCAAGTAAAAAAGGAGCAAACAAGGGAAGGAGAAAGAAAGAGAAGAAGGTGGTGGAGGAGACGAGGAAAGGCGGAGGGAAGTGGAGGGGGCGAGGGAGGAGGTCGAAGATGAGCGAGGGAGGGTCAGAAGTCTGGACGCAGGGGCCGGACAGGAGGCGGTGCAGAGGTGAGGACGGGGGCCGTGGACAGAGGTGGGGGGCGAGGACGAGGAGGGCCAGGACGAGGAGAGGCGAGACCTCTGGTCAGCATCCCACCCCCCCCGCACGCCGCGCGGCACCCGTGGCAGTGGTCGGCCATGCGGGGGCGGAGCGCGTTCTCTCGAGGGCCGTCGGCGTGTCCTGCGCGGCAGCGCGGGCGGGGGACCTGTCAGACCTCTGTGCATCGGTGTGTGTGTGTGTGTGTTTGTGTGTGTGTGTGTGTGTGTGTGTGTGTGTGTGTGTGTGTGTGTGTGTGTGTGTGTGTGTGTGTGTGCGTGCGTGCGTGCGTGCGTGCGTGCGTGCGTGCGTGCGCGCGCGCGCGCGCGCGCCGTGTGTGTGGGTGTGGTGTGTGTGTGTTGTGTGTGTGTGCGTGCGTGTGTGTGTGCGTGCGTGCGTGCGTGCGTGCGTGCGTGCGTGCGTGCGTGCGTGCGTGCGTGCGTGCGTGCGTGCGTGCGTGCGTGCGTGCGTGCGTGCGTGCGTGCGTGTGTGTGTGTGTGTGTGTGTGTGTGTGGTGTGTGTGCGTGTGCGTGTGCGTGTGTGCGTGCGCGTGTGTGCGTGTGTGTGTGTGTGCCCCTGTCGCCGGCCCTGCCTTTCTGCGTTGACGTCTGCCACCGTGGCTGGATTCGCAGCTGGCCCTTCCTCTGCCAGCACCCTGCTGTGCACCCCCTCCTCCCTCCTCGTCCCCCCGCTGCTCTCAGTGCCTGCGCGGCCATGAAGCTGGTCGCGCGGTCAGGAATTGTAAATTTGGATTGGCACCCCACCGCGATTGCGAAGTAGTAAAGGGGGGGGGCCTGGACACCTTGGGATAGACACGACGCCCATGGAGCCCTCAGCGCCTCATTGACGGGGGCCCCACTGCCGGGCACTTTGGCCAGCGACCTGGCGAAGACAACCCTCCACGGCGGGGGCAGTTTCCTGCAGTGCCCGAAACGAGCCCCCCAAAGAGGCAACTCGTGGCGGGCCTCAGGAGCACGCGTCGGTGAGCATCCACTTGCCGTGAAGGAAACGGGCCTTCAGGGACGCGGGCCCTTGACCTGGGGCCAGGGCCCTTGGAGGGCCCCCGGAGGGGAGGGCAACAAAAATGAAGGAACATGACATTACCCTGCGACGCACCCGACCCATCTGCACGAAGGGATGATGCGAGGTGTGCCAGCGGTAGTGCGACAGTAACGCTGCAACAGCACTGCAAGACACTGTGCACGGCACGGCTGGCTCGCAAAACGGAGGTCCCGTTTGGAGCTGCGGGTGGCCCCGCCGTGCCGCCCCGCCCAGCAGCCCTCGAAAGCGGCGACAGCTTCAAGAAGGAACAGAAATTGAAGAAGCCCTCACAAGCGGCGACAGCTTCAAGAAAGCGGCGACAGCGTCAAAAGGTCTTCAAGAAAGCAGCGACAGCTTCAAGAAAACAGCTTCAAGCAGCCCTCGAAAGCGGCGACAGCTTCAAGAAAGCGGCGCTCCGCACGCATCTTGAAGATGGGCGCTGGGCCCCGCTGGCGGCGCTTCCGGAGCCGCCCCTGGCGCGCCAGGGTTAGGCGGCGGGGCTTCTCAGACGCCCTCTGGCTCCAAGAGGCCCCCAGGTAGCCCAAGATGGCCTCCAAGATCGCGCAGCATGGCCCAAGATGGTTCAAGATAGCCTCCAAGATGCCTCGAAGATGCCACAAGACCGCCACAAGACGGCTCCGAGTGGCCACAGAGCCTCCCAAGAACGCCCCAGACAGGCCAACATCCTTCCAAAACCTAAGGATTATCAGTAGCCTTCTCGCCTGTTCCCTTCCGATCGGCTTTGGAGGCGTCCAGATGGCTCTGAAATGGCCCAAGAGAGCACTCAGAGGGACCCGGAAGGGCAAGAGGGCTTCAAGCTCGCCCAGGAGCGCCCCAAGGGAGCTCCAAGAAGCGGTTCTCAGGGCCCGACAGGGGGGACGCAAATATACGCGGCCCCCTTCTTCCACGATGGCCCCAAAAGGGCCTCAAAGAGTGATCCACGAGACCCCAACCCCCCTCCACCCCTCCTTCACCCTCCTTCACACCCATCCAGATCCCCTCCCACCCGCTCCAACGTTCCCGAAGAGCTCCAGAAGAGCTCCTGGAGATCATCCTTCCCTTTCCGAAGGTAACGGCCGCCCTCTTTTCGTTTCGCTGCATTCTGCTACATGTTCCTGATCCGGGCAGCCCCCATGGCGACTGCTTTTGGACGGGCTGGTGTGTGCACTTTTTGGTCAACAGGCTCGCGAGACGGGTCGAAAGCCGCCCGAACACTAACCGGGCCGCGTGACAGGATTCGCCATATGTTTCCCATATGTTCTGGGTTTGTGTCTTCCCCCCCACTTTTCCTAGTTTGTTCCATACTTTCTGGGGAGCCGACGATTCATCGTGTCTGTGTTTTTTTTCCCTCCTGACAATAGCCGCAGCGAGTTTGGAGGCTGCCAGGGGGTCTGAGCTGCTGGGGCCACCTGGGGCAATCGTTAAGTCGGGCCTGTCCCCCTACAGGGGGATTTTTGCAATTTGTTTGCATATGTTTTGAATATATTTTGAATTTGTTTTGAATATGTTTTGACCTTCTTGGGGTATTTTTTGGGGTATTTTTTATATTATTTTTCGTCGAAGACCCCCCTGCAGGGGGACACGCCCGACATCAGACAATCGTTCAAGAGGGGGGGGGGGGGGGGCAAGGCGAGTCCGCTCGAAATCGGTCCCCGAACCCTTCTGGGGTCCGCCTGGTGCAGTTCTGAAGCCCCGGATCCGCTTTTGGCAGCCCTGGGGCTTGGAAGCGGCAGGTGAAAGACCTCCTCGAATCCAAAATCTCGAACCTGTCCCCCCCCCCCCCCCTCCCCTTCTGACGACCTACAAGACCACCCCAACCCAATCCGAAGACCCGAATTTCGGGTTGGGGGGTACGGGCCTCATATGTGTTTTTCAATGTTCCCCGACCCGCCCCCACTAGCAATGGATGGCGAATCGGGGCCTTCGGGTGGGGTTGGGGTGGTTTTGGTGGGCGGTGACCTTCCTGCTGGCCGCAAGCAGTGCTCAGCAACCTCAGACCCCCAGCCGGCTCCAGTGGGCTATGCGCAAAGTGGCCCTGCGGCAAAAGTGGCCTTTGGTGCATTGCCGATCGTTGCAGGCGACGCGGCAGCAGCGTCCTGCCAGCCTGGGCGGGGACCCCCCCGCGCACACCGACAGCAGCGCTCCAAAGGCCACTCTGTCGAAGGGCCACTCTTACGCGCAGCCGATCCACGCAGCGAGGGCCTCCGCTGTCTCGCCTCCGTGGGCGGCGCGCGCGAGGGGGGTCATGGGGGAGGGGCGGAGGCTTCTTGGCAGGAGGCTGCTGCTCAGAAGGCGCCGGCCACACATCTCTATAGATAGGGCCCGCGCCTCCTAAGAAGCAGCGAAGGGGGCTCCAAAAGAAGCCTTCCCCCCCCCCTCCCCCCATTGCCCCCTCTGGCACGTGGCCGAGTGCAGCCGGTGCAGGCAGCGAGGGCCCCCGCCCTCTGGCCTCCGAGCCTGCAGAGGCCCAGGGACACACTTTTTTGGCCTGCGGGGCGAGAGCGAACCTCTTCCGCTAAAAGCTGGGCGGGCGACGCACAGCTTTCATTAGGGAGACAGGGCACAGGAAGGCGGGGCCTCAGGCGGCCCGAGCGGGCGTGGCCCGGGGTGCAGGCGGTGCCGAAGTGGATGTGCAGGAGAAGGCATGCCGCGGACAGGAACCGAGGGCGAAGACCCGGAAGGCGAAGGACGTGGGCCCAGGGACACACGAACAAATGGATACGAACACCTGGATTCCTCACAACTTCCACATGCTTTGGATGCTCGCCTGCGCCCCCATTGCTCACATGTTCCTCACCTCCCCGGGAATCCACGCTCACATCTGTGCCTCTGTGTGTGCTTCTTTTACGGAGGAGTGGGGGGGCACGACTTTCGCACGCAACCCCCGCGAACACGCCGGTCCGGCACAAGACCGTGAAGCGGGGGCCGTGTACAGCAATGGCGCCCCCTGGGGCACGATCCTTGTACGCCACCCCAAACAAACAACAAGCGGATCGGGCACCGAGTGCGCGCGCGGGAGTGGGGGCCATACACACTGGCCCCCGACGGGGGAGGCCCTCTTCCGAGCCCCGACATCTGGCCGCTCCAGCTTCTTCGAGGCGTGGGCCGCGGAGGTCTGGGCCACTTCTCTAGTAGACGAAGGCGTTCCACTCCTCGCAACAGGAACTGCTCGCAAATGGCCTGGACCCGCCGCGGGGGATTTACGACCCACTACATCGAGGCGAACACGTTTCTCGGACGCTTGCGAATAGGCACTTTGCGAGTAGTGGACCGCGATCGGTGATCTAGGGTTGGTGCATTTTCGTCTTGAGTGGTCTTTTTGGAGCCTGATTTTTGTATTACTACAACCACGCAGCACCCGAGACTTGGGAGTGTCGACGGCGAAACAGGCATACGACGCTTGGTGTCGAATCCCAAGGAGGGTTGTGATGGGCCCGAGGTCGAATCGATGTTCCTGGGAGCATATCTGGGAATATCATGCACGACGTGTACGTGTTGCCCTTGTGGCGCTCACATGGGTCTCGAGGGAGGCCTCCAGCTCAGAATGCAGAGGGCTCGAAATGTGACTTGGAACTTCCCCTCTTGGGCCCGTCCTGAGGCCATCTTCGGCTGTGTTGGGGGCCTCTTGGATCGTGTTGGAGCTCTTTTGGGCCGTCTTGGGGCTCTCTTGGGGACCTCTTAGGGGCTTGCAGGGCCGTCTTGAACGCTGCTAAGACCGAAGAAGCGAAGATGCTGAAATCGCACGTTTTCCACAATATTTGGCAAGTCTGGCCATCCGGGGCGCTCCTGGGGAGCATCCCGGAACCTTCTTGGAAGTATCTGGAATCCGTCTGGGGCCGTCCATCAACAATTTTGAGGCCGATCCTATGACAGAATATTGTTTTGGACGACCCTTGAAGCCGAACCAATCTCCCAGGGCGCCGAAAAGAGGTCCAGGAACCCCAGGGCGCAAATTGGTATCCAGGGGGGGAAGGGGGGAGTTTTGGAAAAGCGGGCTCCCCCTTGGGCTCGGGGGCCCGGACGCCGCACATGAAATATTCTCAATAACGGGCGTGATCGGGGGAGAAAGAAGGAGTTCGCCCCCCCCCCCCCCCCCCTCCCTCCGCCCCCCGATCACATCACCGCGGGGGGCCGCTGGAGATCTTAGGAAATCCTCGAAGAATCCGTGGGACATCTCTGCAAATGTGGGCAGAATAGCGTGACTTGATCCAGACCTACAAAAAATCAAAGGCAGCAGCGTGGAATGGGGATTCCCCGCTGCAATGTCCCGGCGGAAAACCGCGGGTCACGCCCGGAGACCGCGAGGAGGACATCCAACTCCACGCCCATATCCTCCTTGACGTCCACCACCTCATCCTCCTCCGTCCTTCACAACAAGCACCTGCTCGTGCACCTTCTCATGCAGCACCACCCTGGCATCCCCCTCCCCATCGTCGTCCTCCTCCTCCTCCTGGCCATCCTGGTCCTCCTCCTCCTCCTCCTCCTCCTCCTCCTCCTCCTCCTCCTGTTCGTCCTCCTCCTCCTCCCCGTCCTGCTGCTCCTCCTCCTCCTCCTCCACCCTTACCTCCTCCTCGTCCTCCTCCCCCACCTGTTCCTGCACCAGATCATCCTTCTCCTTCGCCTGCTCCCTGTCCTCTTCGTCCTCCTCCTGCCCGCGGGCGGGTTGAAATGTGTCGCCCAGGTGCGGTTGCGGTTGCGCGCCCGCGGGCGGGTTGAAATGTGGCGCCCAGTTGCGGTTGCGCTTGCGCGCCCGCGGACGGGTCGAAATGTGACGCCCAGTTGCGGTTGCGATTGCGCGCCCGCGGGCGGTCTGAAATGTGGCACCCAGTTGCGGTTGCGCGCCCGCGGGCGGGTCGAAATGTGTCGGGTAGTTGCGGTTGCGGTTGCGCGCCCGCGGGCGGTTTGAAATGTGTCGCCCATTGCGGTGCGCGCCCGCGGGCGGGTTGAAATGTGTCGCCCAGCGGTTGCGGTTGCGCGCCCGCGGGCGGGTTGAAATGTGTCGCCCAATTTTGGTTGCGGTTGCGCGCCCGCGGACGGGTCGAACTGTGTCGCCCAGTTGCGCTTGCGCGCGGTTGCGGTTGCGTTGCGCGCCCGCGGACGGGTCGAAAATGTGTCGCCCAGTAGCGGTTGCGGTTGCGCGCCCGCGGACGGGTCGAAATGTGTCGCCCAGTAGCGGTTGCGGTTGCGCGCCCGCGGACGGGTCGAAATGTGTCGCCCAGTAGCGGTTGCGGTTGCGCGCCCGCGGACGGGTCGAAATGTGTCGCCCAGTAGCGGTTGCGGTTGCGCGCCCGCGGACGGGTCGAAATGTGTCGCCCAGTAGCGGTTGCGGTTGCGCGCCCGCGGACGGGTCGAAATGTGTCGCCCAGTAGCGGTTGCGGTTGCGCGCCCGCGGACGGGTCGAAATGTGTCGCCCAGTTGCGGTTGCGGTTGCGCGCCCGCGGGCGGGTTGAAATGTGTTGTTCAGTCAGTCAGTCGATCAGTCAGTCAGTCAGTCACCGCCGGGCTCTTGACGCTCCCGAGGCCCAGCGAGGGTCCCTGGAGGCCGAAAACCACCAAAACCCGCCCGTCCGACGTGATCCCCCATCGCTCTGCGTGAGATCTTCGTCCTCGCCTCCTCCCGCTCCCGATCTGGCGGCCGCTCCCGGCCCAGACCCTGCACCTGACCCTGACCCAGACCCGGGGACAGGACCGGGGAGGAGGAGGAGGAGGAGGAGGAGGAGGAGGAGGAGGAGGAGGATGAGGAGGAGCAGGAGAAGGAGGAGGAGGAGGAGGACCAACGCCACAAGCTTGCTCTTCAGGTTCGATCAGCGTCAACGTCAAAAGGAGGAGGAGAAGGAGGAGGAGGAGGAGGAGGAGGATGAGGAGGAGGAGAGGAGGAGGAGGAGGAGGAGGAGGACACTGAGGAGGAGGAGGAGGAGACACTGAGGAGGAGGAGGAGGAGGAGGAGAAGGAGGGAGAGGAGGAGAAGGAGGACGAGGGGGAGGAGGAGGAGGAGGAGGAAAAGGAGGAGGAGGAAAAGGAGGAGGAGGAAAAGGAGGGAGAGGAGGAAGAGGAGGAGGAGGAGGAAAAGGAGGAGGAGGAAAAAGAGGGGAGGAAAAGGAGAGAGGAGGAGGAGGAGGAGGAGGAGGAGGAGGAGGAGGAGGAGGAGGAGACGGAGGAGGAGACGGAGGAAGGGGGAGGAGGAGGGGGAGGAGGAGGAGTAGGACGAGGAGCGGTAGGAGGAGGAGCGTCGGATCTCTGGGAACCTCGGCCTCTCGGACCCCCCGGGAGGGCGCCCGGCCGCGGGGGGGCGCGCCTGCCGCCCTGCGGCGAGGGCGGCATGTGGGGTCGAGGGCCGGCCGCCCGTGCTGCGGACGCTCTCGGCCTGCCACGTGGGGGGGGGGCTTTTGGGGGACCGGGGAGGATCGGGACCGGGGCTTAGGACTAGGAGGAGGAGAGGAGGAGGAGGAGGAGGAGGTGGAGGAGGAGGAGGCGGAGGAGGAGGAGGAGGAGGAGAAGGCGCAGGAGAAGGAGGAGGAGGAGGAGGAAGAGGCGCAGGAAAAGGAGGAGGAGGACTAGGTGGATGAGGAGGACGCCGAGGTCGGCCTCGCTGGTTGCCATCTTTGGCTCGTCCTGGTCTCCCACATCTTCGTTGTGCCTCTCGGCGCTGATCAGGGGGGTAGCAAGGTGCGACTGCGACTCGCTGTTTCGGGCGGAGGCCTTCTTCCCGCGAGCGCCCTGGGCCTTAATGGGCCCTGTAAACGACAAGCCTGTGTTTTTGCTACCGGTTCCGTTTTGCTATAGCCGGTTCCGTCGCCGTTGTTTGGCAAATTCCGTCGCCGTTGTTTCCCTGTTCCGGCTCCGGCTACAATCCTGGAGCCGTTTTTGTTGCCGTTTCTGGTCGCCGTTCTTAAACTGTTCCCATTTTCAAGAAACATGTTCTGAAAACGTTGAAAAAATCGCCCGGCCGTTTCCGGGGCCCACTAAGGGCCAGGTCCTTCGTTGGCACGACGAGTCTGCTCTTTAGGGCGGGCGAGGGGGAAGTGAGAAGCAGGAGGCCTTCTCAGAAGGCGGCGGGACATCTCAGGAGCGCCTGCGCCTTCCGAGAAGCTGTCTTGTGTCTTGGGGGAGGCCTATGAGACTCTTCTCAGGAGGCCCAGGGCCTCCCGAGCCTTCTTCTGAGAAGGCCCGCCCCTTCCCTCTTCCCTGAGATCCGACGTTGGAAACCAATGCAGCATCGTCAAGATCACGACCGAAACCCAAGACCCCATCGTCCTGCGTCATTTGTCGAGCCGGATCGGTCTGCCATGGTCCCAGGGCCGAAGCTGAGCGAAAACGCCCGACTCGGAAAAATGGAGTCGCCAGCATCTCTCGGGTCGGGCGAAAGGGGGGGATAGCAAAGGGGGGGGTTAAGAATCAGCTCGCGTAGCTGATTTTCCCGGCGCCTCCCGGCGCCGGAGGCGGCTATGTATCGAGGAAGGGGCCCCCTCGGTGAGGCCGAAACCAGCTGCATGCAGCAAATTTCGTACCCCCCCTTCCCCAATCCCCCCCTTTCGCCTGGCCCGAATCTCAGGGCTCCCCCGCGGCCTCGCCGCCGAGCTTTCGGGGGGACCGGGGCGCAGCGGGGCCGGGGGCCTTCAGCGGCACGGCGGGGATAGATCGACGGAGCCTGCGGGCCAGGTCGGGGCTGTTGCTCTGCAGCTGGTGCGGCACGGCACTCACGAGGAGGAGGAGGAGGAGGAGGAGGAGGCACAGCATGCGGAGAGGAGGAGGAGGAGGAGGAGGAGGAGGAGGAGGAGGAGGAGGACGAGGAGGAGGAGGAGGAGGAGGAGGAGGGGGAGGAGGACAGTAATAATAATTTGTGTCTACTCCCCCAGGGGGGGCCCGACTGAGCCTCCGAGCTACCGCTTCATAAGCTCCTTACTAAGTCTCATTTCCACTGAGGGAGCTGCCTCGTTGGGAGACATCCGTTCGAAGACCCTGAAGCGCGCCAAAACACCATTCTCGGGACACCAACGCCAGGAAACAACCTGAATATTGCCCTTGACGAGTCATGCCTCAACATCATTCCTGGGACTTCAACACCGCGAATCAAGGTAACTGTTTCGCCTTCACCCCCCTGAGTCCTTCCAAATCACCGTTTCTGGCAAACTCCCCATGCGAATCCGTGAAACGCTTGCGAACGTTCGAGAGGAAAGCGGAAGGATAGGCGGGAGGGAAGGGGGGAAAGGGCAACGAACGCCCGGACTGCCCTCGGAGCGTGTACAGTCGGACTCGAGTGGAGAGGACACGCGAGAGGACACAAAGCCCCTTCCGAGGGCCACAGTGCCACAGGCATGCAGGAAGCAGGGGTCGCGAGAAGCAGGACCCGAGCAAGGGTACCCTCGACTTGGCAGGGTCGACCTGCCGATCTGGGCCGACTGCAGCACCCCCCGGGCTGTGCAGGAGAAACGCTCAGGCCCTCGGAGCTGTCAGCAAGAGCCGGCGCCGCACGCAGGAGCGGCCTGGGGAGGCCACTCCAGAGCGCAAGGTCAGACCACTCGGTCTCCGGGCCTCTGGCCTCACGTCGGGCGTGTCCCCCTACACAGGGGATCTTGGACGAACAAAAAAAAACAAAATACTCAACAAATGCTCCAAGATGGCCAAAACATGCTCAAAACATACTCCCCAGACTATGTTTAAACGATTTTTGAATATCCAACAAATGCTCCAAAACGGCCAAAAAATATTCAACAAACAGTCCCCAGATTATTTGTGTTACTATTCTTGTGTATCTTACCCCTGCGGAGGGGCGGGCCCGACGTAACTCTGGCCCCCCGAGGCGCGGCTGCTGCAGCGCCACGCCCCGCGGCCATAGACCGAACCTCTTGCCCCCCCCCCCCCCCCCCGCAGCAGAGGCAGACCTCCGCAGAGCGCGCCCGAGCCAGACCCCTGACGTCGTGATTGCGTCATGCCCAGAGAGAGAGAGAGGGAGAGGGAGGGGGAGAGGGGGGAGAGGGAGGGGGAGAGGAGACAGGGAGAGAGAGGGGAGAGAGACAGAGAGAGAGAGAGGGAGAGGGAGAGAGAGAGAGAGAGAGAGAGAGACAGGGAGAGAGAGAGAGAGAGAGGGAGAGGGAGAGGAGGAGGAAGACGTGGAGCCGCCGGTGTCTGCATCCAGGATGTTTTTTAAGGGTAAGCGCAAGGCAAAGTAGCTTCATGCCCAGAGAGCCGACGCTCCAACAAAAACAGGAGCGGTGGGATTTGGGCCGTGTTCGGCCTCCTGGGGCCTTCGCCGGGCCTCGGGAGCGACGAACAACGACTCAGGACGAAAAGCCGGTCCTGGGGAAGTGGTCCGCACCTCCAGGGTTAGGTCGGGCATGTCCCCCTATAGTAAAAATTACTACATAACATCAAAAATAATAGAAACATCGTCCATAATAGAAACATCGTCCCCAGACTATTTGTAACTATTTTGAATATATTCCTCCTGTAGAGGGACGTGCCCGACTGAAAGCTCCAAGGCCCACGCATCGACAAAATTTGGAGCAGCCAGATGTCTGGGTGGCGTGGGCCCCCAGGGAGGTCTCGACCCGTTCTCTCGGGGGCCCGTGGCTCCTCCCGACTTTTGTCTCTGCGGACGGCCCCAAAGGGCCAGCAAGGACCCCTCCCCAGAGGCCGAACATCGGGGAACTCAGGAGGTACGTTAGGAGGCAACTACTGGGAGGTTTTAGTCGGAAAGACTAAGGAGGATTAAGCCCCCTTTGGGAGCTGTTACGACGGAAAGGGCCTCGGACTAGGCAAGATTAAGCCAAATTAAACGGGATTAAGCGGGATGCAGCCGGATTCAGCGGGATTTAGCTGGATTAAGCTGGATCTCGGACTAGGGCGAAAACAGAATTTGACCTCCCAAGAGTTGCATCCGAAGGTACGGTAGGTCCGTGCGGCGTCGGCGCGCACGAAGGTTTTTGACACCGCGTCGATCGTTCAACCTTGCATCGATCGCGGCCCCGGTCGTTCAGAATTGAACTCAGCCGGGTCCAGTGGCGTTGCCGTGTCCATCGGTACTTCCGCGTCGCAGAATTCAACCTTGAACACCATCGCCGGCGTCGCCGGCGCGCCAACGCCGCATGAACCTACCGTACCGATACCGATAGCCCCCGGACCTCTCTCGGGGTGCGTTCCGAGCAGGATTCCAGGGCGAATCCGGCCGTGTCGACGAGGGCCTTCCAGGAGGCCCACAAATTAGAACACGAGTGAAAGGTAGCGGCAGGGGTGCAGTCGGACACAGGACAGAAGAACATCCTCCAAGAGCATGAGACCCTCCGCCGGCCAAACCACACAGAACATCCAAGAATATCCTCCCCATGATGCACAAGAACACAAAACAAACACGAAGAACCTCAAGATATCCTTCCCGAACCGACCTCGATCTGACATCTCGGTCCGACTGTACCTTCTCCTCCTCCTCCAGAAACTAACGACAAACCTTCCGTCATGTTTTCTTCATGGCCCGAGGGGGTCTGGTCGGGGGCGCGCTAACATGGATTAGCGATCCATGGATTTGGCGCGCGGTCGCCAAGTCCATGGATCGGGGGAGGTGCCCTCCCCAAAATGCGGCCGGTGCTCGGTCGGCGACAGAAATCCGCGATCTCCCACGGAAGCGGGACCCCGCCGCTAATCCACGCCCCCCTGATCTATGTTTTGTTGCACACGCGGGCGATCGTCAGGACAGCAACTCCTGATCGCAGGTGCGACGAGCGAGCGAAGGGCCCGAGAGGGCCGAGAGGAGGGCGAGGGGCGGGAAGCCCAGGACCCGAGGCAGAGCCGACCGAGGGACCCGACCGGCAAAACAGGACCAACAACCACGAGGGCCGCGATCACCTGATTCGGGGATGGACAGACCTCCCTTTAGTAAAACGTGGTTTAGTGAAAACGACCTCGGGCCCAAACCTGGCGGGAGCAAGCCTGGAAAATGACGTCCGCGGCGCCCTCTCGAGAACCGAAAACGGACAATTCACTAATCGACGTGTCAGGGTACCAGGTCTGTCCGCCTCCGACTGATCTGGGGAGCGTGCAGCCCACCACGGTGAGGTCGGGCCTGTCCCCCTATAGGGAGATATTGACGAAAACAAAATCATAGCCCAAAAACCTTCCAAACAAATGTTCAAAAAGTACACCAAAAATCGTCCCCGTACTTCTTTTGTGCCTATTTTTGAATTTTCCTCCTGTAAAGGACACGCCCGACTCAATGCTTTCTTCATGGCCCGAGGGGGTCCGGGGAGCGTGCAGCCCACCGCGGCCCCGCCCGGCGCTCCGCCCCGCCGAGGCGCGGCTGCCTCCCCCAGGATCCCCCTCCCCGATGCTCGAGTGTGGCCTCGACCGGGTCGTCGAGTCACCGCAGGTTCGTTTTGACGAGCGAATGTTCCACCACCACTACCATGGGTAGGAGGAGGGAAAAAAGGAGGAGGAGGAGGAGGAGGAGGAGGAGGAGGAGGAGGAGGAGGAGGAGGAGGAGGGGGGAGCAGCAGGAGGAGGAGCAGGAGGAGGAGCAGGAGGGAAAAGGAGGTGGAGGACCTCCCCATCCTCCCTTCTCCCCCGTCTTACCTATGGTCGTGGTGGTGGGAAATCGGCCCATCATTTGTGCGGCGTCGGCGCGCGCAGAGGCCACGATACCGCGTCGATCGCTCGGCTTTGAAGCGATCGCGGCCCCGATCGTTCAAGGTTGAACCCCGTCGGGTCCAATGGCGTTACCGTCTCCATCGATGCTTCCGCGTCACAAGTTTCAATCTTGAACGCCTTCGCCGGCGTCGCTGGCGCGCCAATGCCGCATGAACCTACCGTTGGGGGCCCGGCAGCACGACGGAATGCCAGCTCCGACAGCGGGTGGACTTCGCGTGAAGACGAAGCCCCAGACTGCTCACCTTTGTCACTCTGCTGTGTTTCACCGTCCTTGCGACCACTAGCCGTTCCAATTCATTCCGTTCCCCCCACCCCCGGGCGCCGCACGCGGGTGTGGACGCCCGCTATGGTTACGGAGAAAATTGATACAATGCCAAGCAGCAAAATGCTGTCCGCATCCGGCAGCGGGCGCTGTTGGGCGGGCGGCTGTTTGCTTTTAAGAGGACACCATCCGCGGCGACACCGACAGCGACTTTCGCTCAAAATGGGCAGCACTGGTTGTCTTCTAGGAGAAAAACAACGCCATAAACATAAACTTTTGGCGCTCCGCTCGGATTTCTTGGATCTGCGCTGGACCCCCCTCCCTGGCGCGAGGAGCGCGCCCACGGGCCGCGCGGATCCAAGAGATCTGCGCGGAGCGCTATGGCGTTTTCGTTCTTCTTTGATCATCGTACCCGTGCCTTCCGTACCCGTTTCGGTCGTACCGAGCGGGGACAAGCGCTTTCCACTACTCGCAGAGCAACTTCTCGCAAATGGCCTGGATCCGCCGCGGGGATCTTACGATCCTGTGCACATCGAGGCGAACCTGTGCTTTTGCTTCGAACCCCTGCGATTCCGCACTCTGCGAGTCGTGGAGCGCGCTGGGTGGGAGCGGAGGCCTCCGACTCGAGGTCCGCCCACCGCGGCTTGGGGGGCGGCTGCTCGGCCGCCGCGGGGCTCACGGCGGCGCTCGTGGGCGGGTCCTTGGGCCGCCCCCTCCGCCCCCTCCGCCGTGTCGGTCCTTCTCGGCCGTGTCGGTCTTCCTGCTCCTCCTCTTCGGGTCCTCCTGCCTCGCTGCACTCCAGAGGCCACGCTAACGGCGACGTTGCTAAGTGCAGGAAATCGCGAACCACACTTCCCTACACTTCCAAGGTGCAGATGTATCCAACGAAAACGGCACAGCGATTGCAGGAAAGCGCGAGCCACGCGTCACCATAACACCAAAACCTACATCGCCGTCACCTACATCGCCGTTGGCGTGTCTACGGACGTTGGGCACACTTAGGCGTCTAGGCTGGAGCGTTGTGGTGGTGCAGAGATCCTACTTCGGCACAATGGTGAACAAACTGGTGCGAATCAGGCCCTTGCGGTACAGGAAAGGCATATATAACAAGAGCAGCGGAGTGCCCTGAGTGCGCGGAAAAACGGTGCTGGCCGCCAAAGTGGAGAGAAGGAAGACCTGCCGCTTCCCTCCTCCTCCGTCTACCAATCCGCCTCCTTCCCCTCCGCCTCCCCCGCCCCACTCTTGCCGACCCCCATCGCCCTCTCCTTCACGTCCCCTCATATATCAGTTACTTCCGTCATGCCATATGCGAGATGTGCCTCTATACATGTATATATGTGTATATATATATATATATATATATATATATATATATATGTGCGTGTATGTAAATGCTTATATATTTGTGTGTGCGTAACTGTATACATCCACACATACATCTGTAGACCTACAGGACAACCGTTTGGTATTACGGAGGTTGTATGGGGGATGGGTGCAGCTCTCGGTCTGCGATTGGCGACGGGTCGGCAATCAATCTTGATATCATCATAAACCATTCCGGCTGTCCGATCATCCATTCCCCCTAGCCCAATATCCGTCAATTCCTACGTGTTTCGATCCCTCTCTATCTCTCTTATCCCTCTCTCCCCCTCCCTCCCTCTCTCTCTCAAGCCCTCATGGCGGTGGGATGGCGGTAAAAGAGGGGCAGGAAATGACAAACATGCCTTTTTTACGGGAGGCGGTTCCGGGCACTCTGGCGCAGGGCCCATGCCACTCACAGGAACCTGATGCCCCAGGGTGGTGGGTGGGTTGTTCAAAGTCAGCCGAGCGCCTTAGCCCAAACGGCCACGAACGTCCGGCAAAGAGGAGGATGCACGTACGTGGTGTTGGCGCACGGGGGCGTATCCTCGATGAGCCCTCATGGCGGTGGGGTGGCGGTAAGAGAAGGGAGGAGAGAACGGAGGTGCCTCTATCACAGGTGGCGGTTCTGGGGGCCCTGCTGCAGGGCCCCTGCCACTCCTAGGAACCTGCTGGCCCACAATGCGATGGGAGTGAGGCACCTCCGGGCCCCGTAGACCCGGACACGCTGGACTGGGACTTCCAGCATGCCCCGAAAACATTTTTCCAGACGGCAGCACGAAACAAAAACTGCGCTGCAACATTTCCAGGATAAACCGGGACACAAGCCCTCAAAGCATGCAAAGGCCCCCTCCAGACCCAGACAAAGACCCGAGTCCTGCAGAGCAGCAACAAGAACCTGCACTGGACGACCAAGTCTGACTTTGCAGGAAACGGTGCCACTACCCCAGCTTGCCTGTCCTGGTGAGTCTGTGTCCTGGTCTCTGGGGGCCTGAGGCGCCAGGAGGGACAGGAGACCCGGAGACGAGGAGGCGGATCCCGCCCCTCCCCCCGCCCAGGACGCTGCGAGCGTCGGCCGAGGGAAACCATTAGTGAACACCCCCCTCCCGACCCCCCAACACTCAAAGTTGGCACGCGCGGGGGAGACCGCGGCCGAGGTGCAACTCAGCAGACCCACCGCCAACTCTGAACATTGGGGGGAGGGGGAGGCGTTGACACATGAATGTGGCATGAGTGTTCGCTATTCCTTTCCGAGGCCTGGTCTTTGGACGCCCGAAATGGGTACGGAACAATGGGTACAATGCCCAACAACAAATGTTGCCCCAAACCCAACAGCGGCCGCTGTTGGGCAGGCGGCCTTCTGCCTCGAATGGACACAGGCCGCGGCGGCGCGGACAGCGTGTCCTGTCCAAAGGGAACGGGAACTGCTGTTGAGCATCGTACCCGCTCTCTCCGTGCCCACCTCGTTCGTGCAGATGGTCGGAGGGCCGATCGTCCGAGGGCTTCTGAGGGGTCTGAGGGGTCCCGCCACCTTCTCGGGAGGCCTTCTCCTTCTCGTGTCCTCCCCTCGCTCGCCGCCCACGACGGGCGAGGCCAAGGCGAGGACGGGATGGCGAGGGTGGGATCGCTATTGTTTTTCCGAGGCCTGGTCGGAGGGCCGATCGCCCCCCTTCCCCGCGGAGCCTTCCCTCGGCGGCGGGTGCCCCCCTCTGGCCCGACCCCGCGGGGCGGGCCGCCCGCCCCGGGCGGGCCGCCGGGGGCAAGGGGGCGACCCAGGCCTCCTCCTCCTCCTCCTCCTCCTCCTCCTCCTCCTCCTCCTCCTCCTCCTCTACGCCCGAAGTTCTTCTACGGAACCAGCGCTTCCGCATGCACCGCGCCGTATCCGTGCAAGATCGTAGCGCGGTCGCTGGGTTCTTGATTTCGAAAGCCAAATCCTTTACGCCCGAAGTTCTCACGGCACCAACGCCTCCGCCCGCACCGCACCGCACCCGTGCAAGAGCGCAGCGCGGGCGCGGTCGCGAAGCCTTACCCATCCTCTATCTCTCTTCGGGGAGACATAGGACTCGAGCTCTGGGGAATCGGGCTGTTCTGGCGGGGCCAGCATGGAAGGGACGAGGCCCAATCTGAAATCTATTGCGAGCTCCGGCTGCAGGCATCCCACGAACACTGGAGCGTCAAAATCCAGGACGCGCCCGCCCAAAAAAGCCGGCAAGCCCGAGCTCCGGCGTGCTCGAGTCTTACACGCTTCCCCGATCCAGAGGGCCCACCGCGATGGAGGCACCCTTCCGCCCTGGGCCCCCACCCCCGCCCGCAGCGGAAGGATGGGGGGTCCACGGGCAGGAAGGGGGCTCCTGCCGTGGACTTGTATGTGTTCAACGGAACAGGATTCCAAGCCATAAAAGCCCCGGACATCCCCGTGGACCACCCCTTCTACTGATACCGTGGCAGACAGGACGACCTACCGGGGACAGCCCCTTGGACAACCCAATGGGGGTCAGAACAACCCAATGGGGGTCCGAACAACCCCCCTTGGACAAGCCTCCCTGGGAATTCTCTTCCATAAGGCATAGCATGCATCCACCATCTGGTTCATCACTTGTCGTCCTCGTCCACCTCTTCCTGAACCATTCCCCCCCCTCTCCCCCAATTATTTCTCCTCCTCCTCCTCCTCCTCTTCCTCCTCCTCCTCCTCCTCCTCCTCCTTCTCCTCCCCCTCCCTATACGCCGTCCGCTTAGAAGGCGGCCAAGGGGCCTGAACCGGTTGAGACCCCAAGAAATCTGTTAGGAGAACTGCTGAAGCCAAATCCGCTACTGATCGGTCCCCGGCCCCCTTCCAGGATCCATCTGGAGCAATCTTTCACACCGGATCCGTCTTCGACGGTTCTGGGGCCCGAAAAAACGCTCCCGGATGCCGAGGGAGGCAAAGACCCTTTCCAACCCAGAACCTCGGACCTGCCCCCCTTCCTGCCGGCCACAACCAATGCTGGGCCACCTCCGGTCCCCAGCCGCCTCCAATCCGTGTATGCCTTGTGCACTCTTCTCGTTCGGAGCGCCCCTAGGCGGTGTCCTCCTCCTCCGCGGCGACGTCCACCGTCGAGCGCGGCCACGAGGCGGAGCGCTTGTGCGCGCCGGCGCCATGCGGACCGACGTCTATGAAGGTGTGCCGCACCTGCCAGCGACGCGGGGGACCACAAAAAACGCACGCACCAATCACGTGAATGAATACGGCCCCCCTATCCGCCAAACCAGCTTCGTGATTCGAACGTCCGGGCAATGCGTACGTGTACGTCCTTCTTTCGCTCCTGAGTGATGCGGGGGGCGGGGGAGGAGGCAGGGGCGGACGATCCGCATGAGGCAGAGGGCTTCTGATGGAAGACGAGTGTTCGTTAAACTGAAGGCCTCCCGAACGGAGTCCGAGTGGATGGCGTCGGAGAATCGCGCCGCATCGCCGAGGAATCGCCGCATGGTCGACGCGTAGGTCCGCGCTGATCCCTTGGATCGGCGCCAGGCGCCCCTCCCTGGCGCACGGGGCGCTCCAGGGGCGGCGCCAGGGGCGCACTAGGAGGCAACTACCGGGAGGTTTTCGTCGGAAAGATTACGGCGGATTAAGCTCCATTTGGGAGCTGTTCCGCCAGAGTGGGCCTCGGACTAAGCCGGATTTAGCGGGATTAAGCGGGATTAAGCCGGATTAAGCGGGATTAAGCGGGATTAAGCCGGATTTCGGACCAGGACACAATCAGAATTTGACCTCCAAGGAGTTGCATCCGAATGTGTCGCACATTTGTTCTCCTTCAACCTGTCGTGACTCTCTCTCTCTCTCTCGACGCCGCCTCTCTTCCACGCCGCTGCATGGGCCAGTCCTTCCCAGGCAGCACGTCAGATACATCGCCAGGCTCCCGCGCAGGCCTGCAGAGGGCCTCGCTCGGCAGACCGCCATCTGGCAAGCCCGCTACGTGTGCACACGATGCGGCCAACCTGCGGCGTGGCTCGCGCTCCTCCGCATCAACGTAACGGCATGATCAGTCAGCATCGAGTTGGCAGATCGGATCGAATCGGAATGTGCGTCGCATCGGCCCGCATCGGCACGGACTCGAAATCGAACCGGACCGGCTGCGTCAAACCGAACAGCGCCATGCGAGCCCCGAGCCGCATCGGACTGCCCGACTGGCAGAATCGAGTCGGATGTGGTCGGGCCGGATGGATCGGATCGAGATGGACCCTGAACGATTCCTTGAGGAATGGGATCCGGTACATGACTCGCTGTTCTCAAGCCGTTGCCCCCCCCTGCCCCACGGGCCCTGGGGATGGAAACTTAGGTATCCCAAGACCGTGCGGTGAAAGACCCGGCGGTGACCTCGAAATCCGCAAAGGCCTCACCGCAGGGTCCGCCACCACACGGTCTTGGGACCTCGGAGGCCCCAGTAGCCCGAGACGTCCTCGGCGGGAGAAAGGCCCAAGTCCCCCAAAGCCATGCGGTGACCCCGAATACCCACCGACTCACCACACGGTGTGGTCACCACACCGTTTGGGGGACCCCCGAGAAACAAGGATGAAGAGATGATCCTGGAGCAAGCCCCGGGGTCTGGGGCCCGTTTTGGGGTGAGAGCCTTCAGGGGAGCCTCTGCTAAGCCTGATTTCGTGCAGATGCCGTTCAAACGTCGCCCAAATCCGGCGAAATCCAGGCGAGACCCCCCAAACCGCACGGGATTTGGGACCTTCTGAGGCTCCCATGCAGGACCACACGGCCCGTCCTTTCAGGACTCCTTTCACGCATGGCGAGCATCTGATACGGTCGGGTTCCTCTCCGCATGAGGCCACAAGTGCAGCAGTGCTCCACCAAAGATCGACGCGCACCACTGGCGCACGATGCGACGGGGCGCGCCCCGCCCGACGCCGCTGCCCCGCCCCGAAGCTGAGGGCGAACAGAACCAATGCGACGAAGGACCTCGACATTCGGGGAGACGTAAGACTCGGGTACGGGGGACTCGGGTTGGCCTGACGGGGCCATGGACAAAAACTGACGAGACCCAATCTGAAATTTGACGCGAACTCCCGCTGCAAACATCCCACGAAAACGGGACCGTCAACATCCAGGACGCGCTCGCCGAAAAACGTCGGCAAACCCGAGCTCTGGCTTACTCGAGTCTTACGCTTCCCCGCGACATCAGGGCGTCGTGAAGGCACGACGGGCAACTGCGCTCCGTGGCAGGCCCCTTTTGCGGCCGTCACGCGTCGACCCGGCTGGAAGGCAGTGCAGCACAGAGGATGGGTCGAGGGCTCCAGTCGCAGAGGCCTCCTAGAGGAAGTCCGAGCAGATGGGGTCGGAGGATCTCACCGCATCGGCGACGTGGGCGACGCATCGGCGACGTCGGCGTGGAGGAAATCGCAGGAGGGCCCAGGGAGGCCCAGGAGGACGAAGACTTCCGCTCCTCCTGATTTTTTCTGCGTCCAGCAAACTTGAGGAAGACAGCCTGTAGCGCTCATGCACGGCAGTCATTAAACACAAAACAAATAATATGCAGACTAAGCGGCGGATCAGGGATTGCGAGGATGCACTGAAAAGTGGAGAGGTCCGAGAGGGCAGAGAGTATCAGATCTGCAGGATCCTCCTCCTCCACCTCCTCCTCATCCTTGCCCTCCTCCCTAGGGGGAGGCCGCAGCGCGCCGTCAGGCCGTTGCCCAGCAGCATGCCTCGGCGGCAGGGGGGGGGGGGCGCGCCGCTGCAGCAAAGTGCGTGCGGCGTCTCCCCTCTGCGCGGCCTGGAGGTGTCGCCGCGCCGTGTGCTCTCGACGCTCCCAGGTGACGACGCCCGACGCCGATACCACGGCACACCCACGGCAAGCGCTGCGTCCCACGCCCAAGGAGACGCAGCCAGCGCCGCGGCAAACCCCACGGCAGGCCCTGCGTCCGAGGCGGAGTTGGCCCTGGTGGCCGAGGCGCCCTCCCCAAGGCGGAGGGCCGCGCGTCGGAACAAGCGGCGCGGCGACACGTGCGAACGGATCGTGAGGATGCGCGACTGTGAGGATTCGCGGCTCGGAGAGCCTCGATAAACATACCACGTCTTCTGGTCGGCCAGCGAGCCAAGGAACTCGGCGAAAGACGTCGGTATGTAGACGTTCCAGCGTCCCACAGGCTGGGCAGCCGGGGCGTCTATACACTGGGCTCCCTGGCCGACCAACTGGCGTGGTGCATACATCGAGCCCCTCCCGGCGGTAAGGTTGCAGAGCCCATGGACGCCCAAGTTGAGGCCGAAGCTGCATGCCCACGGCCCAAGGTTAGTAGAGGGCAGAAAATCCCCCCCCCCTGGTAATCACCCCGACAAGCGAAGCCGTGTAGTAAACGCATCCAAGGAAGGAATCGAACAGGGCAAGGCTGTTGAGTAAACGCCCAGGGCCGTGTAGTAAACGTCAATTGTCGGGTCTGGGTGATTTTTCCTCCCTTGAGTTAGGGGCTGCGGTCAGGAACTTTTTCTTAGCGTGTCGCGGCGGTGGCCCCGGCGGCGCCATGCCCTACGAGCTGATAGCGTGCCGCCCCGCTCCGCGGGGAACAATTCGGGACGTTGACGCTTTGGGATTGGGAAGTAGTTAGCGTGCCGCGCCGAAGTGGTGGGCTATAACAGGCGGAGCGGTATGCTGAGCAAAAGTTCCCGCTGGTGTAGATTGGATGGGCCGAGAGGCAGGGATGCAAAGGCACCCTTTGAAACTGACTCATCCTTCTGATGCGGTTTGGCTTTGTCCTCCCTTTCCAACGGCCGCTCCACCCCGCTCTGGGAGCTCCTCGAGCGAGGATGAGGGCCAAAGGTGTACGGATGAAAGGATGCCCTGCATGATCCATGTTGTCATCGACTGAGCTACCCGCCATGCATGTGCGGAAGACCAGAGGCACGGTGCTCGGGGCGAGGGGGGGGTCATCGGGGGACCGCGGCACACATGCGGAAGGTGTCAGGCTCATGGGAGACGCTGCACCGGGGGGCCAGCGCCCAGTGACTGCAGCCAGTCGCGCTCGATCCCCATCCCTCGTTGAGCACTCACCCCCTCCCTCACCTTCACCACCGCCTCTCTCTCCCACTTGTTTTTGTTGTTGATCCCTCTCTCTCTATCACTCTTAACTCTTAGTCTCTCACTCTCCCAAAGCACTCCTTGGTGGGCCCCCCCGTGGACGGAGAACTACGAGGAGACGTGGGGCCAAGTGGAGGGGCGACAGAGTGGACAGTGGCAGCCCCAACGCCATCAGCTACACTGCTTGGATCAAGATGTGCGAGAACGGCGGACAGCGGCCAATGACGCTGCGCAGGAGGCGAAGCGAGAGCCCGAGCGCGTACCCGAGGGCGAGTAGCGCGAGAAGGGCGGACAATGACAATCGGCTCTGGCTCAATGTGAGAAGCAGAGGGCGAAGCTGGAGCCGGATATGAGGAAGGCGCAGATGAAGCCCAAGGTCATCACCTTCAGTGCTGGCATCAGTGCGTGCGAGAACTCAGAGGTGAAGCTGGAGTCGAGGCGTCGGCCAGAGCACTGGGAGCAGTGCGTACGAGAAGGAACAGTGGCAGCAAACTCTGCCGCCACACGCCGTGCGAGAAGGGACAACCGCGCTGGCACTTTGTGAGAAGCTGGAGGCGAAGCTGGAGCCCGAAGCGAAGCTAGAGCCCAGGGTCATGAGCCATAGTGCTGGGACTACGGAGCGCGAATAGGGCGCGCAGCGGCGAGTGACCCGGGCATCTTGCGAGAAGCTGGAGGCGAGGCTGGAGCCCAAGGTGAAAAGAGAGAGAGCCCGAGGCTATCAGTCACGGTGCTGAGATCAAGGCGTGCGAGGAGGTCGGACGGTGAATGGGTCACCTGGCATCTTGTGAGAAACTGGGGGCGAAGCGAGAGCCCGTCATCAGCCGCGCTGCTGAGATCAACATGTGCGAGAGCGTCCAGTGGCAATCGGCTTCGGCTCAATGCGATGAAGCTTGAGGCGAAGCTGGAGCCCGACATGAGGAAAGCAAAGGTGGAACCCGAAGTCATCACTTACAGTGCGTGCGGGGAGGACGGGCAGTGGCAGCATCAAGAAGCGGTGGACAGTGCGAGCGGGAAAGACGGGCAGTGCCAGCCTCTGGAATGAGCGGACTGTTCGTGCGAAAAGGGCGGCCAATGGCCGCTTCAAGAGAATGACAACGGTGCGTGCGAGAATGACGGGCAGAGGCGGCCTCAAGAAAGAGAGTGGAAGGAAATGTAGTGGCAGCTTCAAGAAGAGTTTGACCACGCGTGCGCGAAGGAGGGGCAGTGGCAGCCTGAAGAATGGGCAACCAGTGCGCGCGAGAAGGGCGCAGCGGGACGGGGAGGCGAAGACCGAGTCCCATACCAGCAGCTACGGTTCGGAGCCTGGGCACGGAGCGGGCGCGAGCAGAGCAATGAGGGCCGCGCGGGCACGAATAGCCCGAGCCTGGAGGGGTACTGCATGGGCCGACGAATACCAGCTCCTCAGCCCAGAAGCGGGGCGCCGCAGTACCGTGCGGCGAGGGCGAAGACGGAACCCGACGGACCAGCATGTCGTGCGGAGGCCCCAGGCAGAACGTGCGAGCAGGCGAGGAAGTGGCAGCATGGGAGCGAGGCGAAGCAGACGCCCACCGCCGGCAGCTACACGAGTCCCGCCATCCACAGTGGATGGACAAGAAGTTCGGGAAGAGAGGCGCGGCCCGCGTGCGACGAGAGCCCGCGACGCCCAACCACAGCCTGGACGAGTTCTTGCTCTGGGAATTACCGTTGGCGGAGGCGGTGCTGTCCAGGAGGATTACAACTCCGAGCGGGGCGCCGGCAACTACAATACTCGGGGGTCGCTCGGGCGATCGAGCCGCGACGGATCAGACATGGGGTCTGTGAGAGGAATCCGTAGTAATCTTCTTCTCCTCCTCCTCCTCCTCCTCCACCTCCTCCTCCTCCTCCTCCTCCTCCTCCTCC